ATGCAAGTCCATCTGTATCTGACCTTAGAAACATGACTCAATTCCAAAATCGACCTAACCCCGGCCGACACAAGTTACACCCACAGGTGGCGGTTTTCCAATTTTGTTTTTTAGCTAGTTTTAATTGTGTGGTACCTATAGCGGCAATACTAAATACTATATATTGTATGGAGAAAGGCAAAAAGGCATATGATATGAAGATGTACATGCATGCACCTATATAATTCCATGGGCCAGCTTCATTTTTCTTTCTAATCCCATGCTCAATCCAACCGAGTGGGTGATGAATAGTCAGCTGAAGAAAGAAGTGTACAAATTAAAAATAAAATTCTTTAATTTTTATAAGCTATTGGGGACAGAAAGTCTTGGGTCCAAGATACACCATCCAATCATTGTCTTTTTGCCTATGGTTGATGGTCAGCCAGCATTCCAATTTTGTTTATTTTTTTGGGGCCAAAATGTATTCCTACAGTTACCTTTTTTCATTTCTAATAATCAAACTGATCACATAAGTATAGCTAAGAGTGTGAAGCAATGATGGGATTGTGTGTTTTCTTTAATTTATGAGGGGAATGTTGCATATAACCTACTTTTGTTTTCAATGGCCATATATAGAACTTCTTCAAATTTCAAAATGTACATATAATTTAAATGTGATTTTGATTTAAACACATGTTTGATCTGTAAAATTGAAAAGTACTGTACACGTAAATTTGTGGTTTATGCTAGGTACGCGTAATCTCTTAAAAATTAATTTTATATATAATGAGATGCCTTAAATGCCCTTGACCTGCATAATGGGGACACTGAACAAGGCCTACCGCAATTGAACCAGAGGGAATGTACAAGGATAATATATAGAAGACGCTAAAAATAAAGGCTACAAGCGTGTGGCTCCGTACAATGATACCGCACGCATGTCTGTTTTGTATTTGGCTTATTTCGATTCCTATATTGAACTATATATATATATATATATATATACATGCCTAAAGAAATTTCAATTGTGCATTGTCTCTAGCCACATCGAGTACTATGGTGTATATGCATGCATGTACGTTATTATGTAGTCGAAATTGTGGGGGTGCTTAGGAAAAGTTGTCGTTCGAATAGGAGTGAGGGCTAGCTAGGTAGACTAGCTAGGCAATTGGTGAAACAATTAAGAATGTTAGAAAGGGTAACGAGGCGTGTCCCTGTGGATGCATGTATAGTTCCACAAATCACAATGCTCGAGGAGGCAAAGGCAGGCTTAAATCTTAATTACAGGACCAAATTTCGTCCGTTTCATTCCCGAGGAATGCCTGCTTGCACCAATTGCACACTATTTTAGTGTCTTTCAAAGTACCATTTATGGCAATGCTAGGTCTTCTTTGGAGATAGGGTAAGCTTATTTTATTTTGTAATTCCCATTTGGGGAAATGTTATTTCGCACAATATATTTCTTAGACGGCATGCTACATGTCATTGTGTAAGGGCAGATGTCTTAAACACTTTTGAAGATTGAGTTACAAATAATACCATACTGAAAAAGCTCTCGGAATAGTTTTTTTTTAGATTAATGATAAATGAAATTAAAATTTGATATCGATGTATTAAAAGATGAATTCTATATTATTTAATGATTAGTTTTTTTTTTTTAAGATTCATAATATTATATACATCAACTAATTTAATGATATTGTATAAACCACGTCATTAGTCTCAAATTTTCATCTCCAATTTTTGTCCTCCTTATCATTACTCTTTTTTTTAAGGTTTCATTTTTAGGTGGATGAAGCTAGAGCTGGACTTTAAATTTAAACAATTAATTTGTTGTACATATTATTTTTGAATTGATAGTAAAAGAAATCCCTGGTTGGCTTTAAGGGTGTCGTTTGAGATTATTATAAAGTGCTATACCTATAACTGTAGCTGTGGTTGTACTGAATTATATTGTATTGTAACTGTAATTGAAAGTTATTTTAGTGTTTAGTTATTTATTT